AGGGTTTAGGGTGCTTGTTCTATAACCCTTATATACACTATAATAAGGGCCCATTCTTCGGATCCCTTGAAGCAAGGGTTAGGGACCATAATACTAAGGGCCCATGTATCCAACCTAGCCTGTGATTGCACCGGCCTGCAGGTGTCTAGGGCAGAGAATGGGATCCAGGAATCCTGGAAAGTTCAGGGTTTAGGGTTTAGAGCTTAGGGTTTAGGGTTTAGGGTTTAGGGTCTGGAGTTTAGGGTCGTTTAGGGAATCCTAAACCCCTAAACCCTAAAGCCCCAGATGTGTTCAGGGGCGTTGGTTGCGAGGCTGGGGGATTTGAAGCTCCTAGTACAGACAAGGACAGGGCGAGCAAAGATTTCAAAACGCGCGAAGCGCAAGTCTGCTGCGTGTAACATTCCGCGATGCACTTCTTCTGGCATCTAGCGCGATTCTAAGACCCCAGATAACAAAATATGGTGTAGGGTTTAGGGTTTAGGGTTTCGGGTTTAGGGTTTAGGGTTTAGGGTTGGGGTTTAGGGTTTAGGGTCTGTTAGAAGCAAAGCCAACCGAAGCTGTGTAGATGCGACTTCTGAAGCACAGTCCAGTTGCAGGCACTTGTTCCGCCCGTACCTGAGGTGCCCAGACAGAGGGACTCTGGGACTATGGGCTTCGGCTTTCCCCTTAAGCCCCAAACCCTAAACCCTAAACCCTAAACCCTAAACCCTAAACCCTAAACCCTAAACCCTAAACCCTAAACCCTAAATGGCTAGGAGTCGGGTCTTCGTGGTACAGCGGCCGTCCCTTTTCAAGGTGGTGCACACGCCGAACTAGTTCCCCACCCCGCCCCAAAAGCCTTCTAACACAAGGGCCTTAAGAATTAGAGCAGGGTTTTGGGGGTGATTAGAGTAAAAACACCCTAAACCCTAAACCCTAAACCCTAAACCCTAAACCCTAAACCCCAAGGGAGCCATAAGGGAATTCTAAGCCCTTCACCTTCTGAACTCCAAGATGTGTCCTGACGCCTCGGCCCCTGAAAGCGCCTCCACCACCCAACAAAACCCAGAGCACACAAAAACAAAGAACACACACACACACACAGGGTTTAGGGTTTAGGGTTTAGGGTTTAGGGTTCAGGGTTCAGGGTTCAGGGTTTAGGGCTTAGGGTTTAGGGCTTAGGGTTTACGGTTTTATCATGGGTTTCCCTACTACCCCACTCTATACTACCCCCCCCCCTAGTTTCCCCCCTTAAATAACCTTAATTAGGCTTAATGATCCCTAAATAGCCTTAATTATGGGGGGAACCGGGGGAGTATGGAGGGGAACCCATGAACACACAGAGACACACAAGACAAACAACAGCTTACAGAGCCGAATAAGAGAACCCATCAACGAGCCCCCCCCCCCCCCCCTCCCAAACCCTAAACCCGAACAACAAAACCCAAAACCTTAACCCACAAACCCTTAAACCTAAACCCGAAACCCGAAACCCTAAACCCTAAACCCGAAAAACTAAGCCCTAAACCCTAAACGCTGAACCCTAAACCCAAGGAACAAAACCCAAAACCCTACACACTAAAACCCAAAACCCTATAACCCTGAACCCGAAGAAACAAGAGGCAAAAGCACCAAAAAGACCCTAAACCCTAAACCCTAAAACCTAAACCAACAAAAAAAGGAAAAGCACCAAAAAGAACCTAAACCCTAAACCCTAATCCCTAAATCCCTAAACCCTGAACCCTAAACCCTGAACCCTAAACCCTAAACCCTGAACCCTAAACCCCAAAACCCAAAACCCAAAACCCCAAACCCTAAACCCTAAACCCACAAAAATAATGGAAAAGCACCGGGGCGAAGCGGCCCTTTGAGGCGCTCCTCGAAGGCCGGCGCGGTGCTGGCGCGGAGCGCGAGGAAGGGCTCGAAGCCCTTGAAGGTTTAGGGTTTAGGGTTTAGGGTTTAGGGTTTAGGGTTTAGGGTTTAGGGTTTAGGGTTTAGGGTTTAGGGTTTAGGGTTTAGGGTTTAGGGTTTAGGGTTTTCGGGTTTCGGGTTCCGGGTTTAGGGTTTGGGGCTCTTCTATCTTGTTCTGGCTGCGTGTCCCTGTTTTTTTGGGCGGGGTTAAGGGTACAGGGTTCAAGGTTTCGGGTTAGGGCGCGGGGGAGGGGCAGGACAAGTTGGAGAGGGGGAATAGGACCGGATAAGAGTTTAGGGTTTCTTAGTTGAAGGTTTAGGGTTTAGGGTTTAGGGTTTAGGGTTTAGGGTTTAGGGTTTAGGGTTTAGGGTTTAGGGTTCAGGGTTCAGGGTTTAGGGTTTAGGGTTTAGGGTTTAGGGTTTAGGGTTTAGGGTTTAGGGTTTTTGTCCTTTTGGATCTGACAGGAGCGCATGCGATGCTTCTTGCAAGGGATTGGCCGCCTGTGGTTGGAGGTTGAAGGTTCCATGTTATGGGGTTTGGGTTCAGGGTTTAGGGTTTGGGGTTTATAGTATAGGGACTTAGGGCTTTCGGCGGGGCTTTAGGCGTTTAGGGGTTGCGGAGGGTTTGGGGGGTTCAGGGTTTGCGGGCGTTGGGTGGGTGGGAGTGGCGAAACCTGAAACGCGCGGCTTGAGAAGACCTCTAAGCGATGAAGATGAGTTGCTCAGGTTGTGATGGTTGTGTACCCCTAAACCCTAAACCCGAAAACCCTAAACCCTAAACCCCTAAACCCTGACACCCTGAAACCCTAAAACCCAAATTTCCGGGGGTTGAGGGCGCCCGCGGCCCCAAGCAACTCCGTCTTCGTCTTGGGCCTCCTCGTAAGTGATGGGGCCATAAGTCAGGCCGGCATCCTCGTGGGTGGCAAGGATTGGAGGGTACGTACACCCCCGAACCAGCCCTGCAGGGGGTTTCGGGTTTAGGGTTTAGGGTCTAGGGCGGGTTTAGGGTTTAGGGCTTTAGGGTATAGCGTTTAGGGTTTTGGGTTTACGTGGGCCTGTAAGCCCTGAAACCCTACAACCCGGTCTCTGCGTTCAGGGGTCAGGGGCGTTGAGATTGGGGCTGGCCTTGAGTGCAATTGGAGACCTCGCGAAGATCACACGGGGTCTAGGTTTCGTGAGGGCTTAGGGGGGTGAACTATTGTCTGGCTTCGGGCTTGCGCGGGTTTAGGGTTGGGGCTTCGGATTCAGGGTTTAGGGTTTAGGGTTGAGGGTTTAGGGTTTAGGGTTTAGGGTTTAGGGTTTCGGGTTTCGGGTTTCGGGTTAGGGTTTCGGGTTTCAAGAACTGCCCAGGCAGGGAGCGGGGCTTGGGCCTGTGGGTTTGCAAGCCCGGAAACCTTCTCCTACCCCCGAAAGCCGTGCCTAAGCCCCGAAACCTCAAAACCCTAAAAGCAACCTTGCAACCCTGACCCATCCGGCCTGGGGCCGAGTCAGCCACCGGGAAAAGTCTGTCCGCCGGTGGCCCGTGGGAAACCTGAGAAGTTAGGGATTTGGGTTTGGGAGAACCCCGATGAAAACCCAACAAACCCTAGGGCCTAGACCCCTTCCCCCCCCCCCCCCCCCACACACGAAACCCTAAGCCCAAACCCACAGAATGAATAAACCCCAAACTCCCAAGCCCTGAACCCCGTTTACGCCGTTTACGACTGCAGTCAGGCTCAGCCAGAGCAGAGCCGGACCTGTGCCGGTTGCAGTTACTAGAGTGCCCATTCGGGCAGGGGAACCGACCTCCACCAGTCCTTGCCTTGTCCACGACGATGCTGAAGTAGGAAGGTGTCCACCAGCTCAAGTGTTGCCGATTGGCAGCGAACTGGTAAAACAAGCATGCGATGACAAAGGATTGACGATGAAGGTCTGCCTTCCCATGTGGGCCAGCCCGCCCCTGCTAAGTGTAGCACGTCTTTCAGTTGCCTTCCAAACCACCGAACCCTCTTTGGTAGAGCCTGTTGCGCATGTGGGTTGCGCCTCCAGCTTTTAGAGGCTGCACAGTAAGTGGGAGGAGACATCCTTGCTCGGAAAACAAAGGAGAAGTACAGCTGGTACACCGAAACCCATCGACAAACACTGCCGGCCTCGTTGGCTTGCGCTAACAACCATTGCAACCAGAGCACCAGAGCCTGAATAAATGTACGACCATACTTGCCCCACAAGGGAGCACACTGCACATCATCAGGGCATGTCTGAACTGGCGGAACATTCGGCTGCGTGACAAAGCGAAGCGGCGGCAGCTGGCGTTTGCCCTTATCTGTGGTAGACTTAACCGCAATGTCGACGTGGAACTTCATGATGGCCTTGACCCTAGCCTCTTCATCCACGAGGTGCCGCCTGAGGCCGTGCCAGAGCTGCCAAACTTCTGCATCACGCTGGAGATTGGCCTGCTCAGCGGCTCGGTCAGCCAGGCTATTATTGTCAATAGCCCACAAGCTAACCTCATCATCATGGCATGCTGGATCCTCATGCGACGGTACTTTGTGTACTGTGAGAGGTGCAACAAGATGCATCAGGCACTCTTCAATGAGCTTCCAAAGGTCAGAGTTGCTGGTGCCAAATTGCACGGTGCCACCCTCAAGCATTCGGCGAAGTCGAAGAACCACCCCACGACAATCACACCAAACCCTAACCGGGACCCCAACCTGAACCGCAAACAAGACTGCTGCATACACTGCAAAGAGCTCGGAGCGGAAAGAAGACTGCAGGAGGCCAGGCAGCGGGCCGGAAGCTAAGACGACCGGGGGCTGGTCAACGCTGTCACGTGCAACGATCACAGACCACGCAGCAAGGCGCAGCTCCGGGATGGTCGGGCACAAGCATGTGCCATCCGTGAAGAGGTCAAACTGGGCCCTAGCATTGACCGGCTGAAAGACAGGCACCGAAGGCAGGACAGCCAGTGCGCGCTGCAGCTGAAGGTGGAGCGGTGAGCGAAGCGCCCAACAGTGCCAGAACTGACACGGTGACAAGTTCTGGAGCTCAGCAAGGCGCGTGCAGGAGGTACGCTCAGCCTGAAAGTGAGGGCACTCCAACAAGCGGTGCGGGATGCCATCAGGACCGCCACAGTAAAGACACGCGTTGGACTCCTCACAGCCGATGTGGTGCAACTCAGCTTGGGTAAAGAAGGTGCCATTCAAGCAAACACGGAGGTAAGCCTGCTGCTCCGGAGAGAACGTCAAGAAGACCCGGCGGGTTAAGGCAGGGTCAGCATTGCGGAGACCTTGAAAGCCTGCACGGACAGCAGTCTGGGCCATGACTACTTGCTGCCAGTGCCACGCAAGGCGAAAAGAGACCTCAACCGAGGAGATGCTCCAAGGTGACCACAGACCAAACTCATCAGAGAAGGAAGCGCTGTCTGGTATCCAGGAGACCCCAACCCCGTTAAACCTAGCCAAGAGAACCCCAATGGGGCCTGGGATACGGGGACCGCAGTGCTGCGCGATGGCATCAAGGCATGCCCTCGCCTGGTACTGTGTAGAAAATCTGCACAAGTCAAGCGCTGACTGCTGCAGTGCCACAAAAGCTGGGTCAGCCGTGGGGTATTGAAGCAGAGAAAACTGCAACTTAGCAGAGGCCCCCGGGCGGGCCAAGCGAAGGCTCTTCATGGCTGAAGACCGGAGCGAGGTGAAGTGACGATCACCCAAATGAACAAGGGCAACGGCATGCAAGGCTCGCGGCCACGCTGCACTCACGATAGCCGACATCTTTTGCGTAAGAGGGGCTGGGGACTCTCGCAAACGGATCCAACATGACTCAAGGGAGGCCAATCGAGCAACTTGCGTGAAGTTTGTCAAGCGGCGGCTGTATTGCATGTGTGCACCCAGGTCGCGCCCATCATGGTGAACACTGAGCCCCAAGCTACGGAGAGCTGCACGATCGCTGGCCTCAGAAGCCCAAGCAAAGGTTTTGGTGGGATCTAGACAAAGATCCCACCTCCTGCAGAATGTCTGAAGGGCAGTGTGAGCACCATCTATTTCAGGCACAGTCTGCGCCACAACCTCCCAGTTGTCCACGAAAGTTAACAACTCAGCAGGGCGAGCATGTGCTTTGATGTGGTCATCAAGGGCAATGTTCACAAGCGTCATGGCAACGCACGACATGGCGCAGCCTTCCGGAAAGCCCGTGGAAGAGAACAATGGCGGGCCTACTGAGCCCCGAACGCGGAACCGGCGGCCAAAGGCGCTGAGGAAACCAAGCCAGGCTCGGAGAACGCCTTTAGGTAGACCCAGGCGTGCACCAACAACCAATGTGGGAACGCGAGGTAAATGGTTGAAGGCTTTCACTAGGTCAGCAACCAGGCCACAGACCTGCCCACCAAGGTGCCGAACCGACTCAACGCGCGCCTGAAGTCCCCACCACAGCTGAGAAGCAGACAAGCCTGGGAGGCAACCGTAAAGGCCTGATGGCCGAAACTGAGCAAGGTGAGCCAAGCACTGGCGGCCACGAAGCGATGACCACACCCGGTAAACCAAAGAAAGCACAATGATTGGCCGGTAATGGCCCACATCAGTGGCCGAGGGCCTCTTGGCCAGGGCAGAGACAACAGCCTCCAGGGCCGGTCGGGGCCACTCGCCAGTAGCCTCTGCATGCTGGTAGATGCTAAGCAGCTCACTTAGAAGGTCATCTGGGAACAGGAGAAGGTCCTCCCGGCTGATCGAGTCGAGACCAGGGGCAGTATGAACCTTCTTACGTTGAACCTCACGACGCCACTGTGCAGGAGTGAAAGGCGGGAATGCAACCTCAGGCACCTGGTCAAAAGTAAGTGCGTTGATGGCCTCGGCCCACCTGCCAACAGAGACCCCATCATGTCGTTGCCAATAAGACGCCCAGACGCTACCAAAGGAACGCAGCAAAGCAGGAAGCGATCCCACAATTTTGTCTTGGTGGAGGATAGCACCTGGTTCACACCCTGGCGGCGGTGACAGCCAAAGCTTGTCTTCCTCGGCATGAATGACCTGATGCTGGGCGCCCTGGATCCACACAGGGCAGGCAGGGTCAACAGACACCGGGCCAGCAAAGACGACTGCAGCTTCGTCAGCAGCAACTTCCTCGATGGGGACACGGACCCCTGCAAGCAAGGAGGAGACCGGAGCAGCAGGAGCATCCTTGATGTCACGGAAGATCATATGAGGGCACAGTCTGCGCCTCTCCTGAGCCTCTCGGCACCTTCGCCTGTTTAAGTCCGCCTCAAAGAGTTCAACGTCCCTGCGAAAAGTGACAAACATGTTGGAAACAAGGTCAAGGCTGGGAACAGCCAGGGGGAGTGCAACCCCAGCACGGTCAGGGAAGGACGACCACCAGAGCGTAAAGGAGGGGTCAAAGCCAGGAGCAGCCAAGATGGAGTGCCACAAGGATGCACGGTGTGTCACCGCAGTAGGGGAGCGTGCACCCTTACGCAAGGCTTGCTCCAGTGCCTGGATGCGTCGAAGCTGACGGAACCAATGACAGTGGCGAACACTGGCAGGGAAGAAGGTTGGGCAAACCTCACCGGGGCGTCCCTTGGAGACAGGCGCAGCGGAGTCCCAAACAAGCGTAATGTCGGAGGTGGCAGCGCGCCCCCGCTCGGACGGCGCAAGCGGATGACCTTGACCAGCAACGAGGGCCTCAGACAGTCGATCCTCATACGAGTGACACAGGTGCATGTACCGCGCGGTCACATCAGCAGTATTGTCCGGGGCCCAGGCAGGACTCGGGGGCAACGGTTTAATGACCTTGCGGCCTCCTGGCTTCTGCTCACAACCCAAAGCCGCTCCCAAGCGCCGACGGCGAGGCTGACGCCATTGAAAGCGAGGCACCAGCAAATCACCAAACTCAAGTGAAGATGAAAGGACCGCATGATCCGGAAACCAGTCTGCTTCAACACTCACTGCTCTGAGACAATGTTGAAGCTCAGGCGACAAGAAAAGGAAGTCCTTCCTGGTGGCACCTTTGCAAGTTGGCTTTGGTTCGGTGCCAAACAACTCCCAAGCCACATCCTGCACCTCACGGAAACCCAACGCACGCCACTGCTCAAGCTGAAGCTCACAGGGCTCCAGGTTAAAGTCTCCTGCCAGAAAGCGAGGCCCAGAAGACTGAAGCATGACGCGGCGAGCCGCCGCCTCAAGCAGTTCGGGTGTTCTCTGCTTGCCGGTGGCGTACCCATACACCACGGCTCCAGTGATCCAGTGGGGCTGAACATAGAAGGCTGCAACCTGTATACGGCTGGAAAAGTACAGGTCGTAACTCCAATCATGTGGCAAAATTCGAGCCGGTACGGAGGACAGAAAGCCGACTCCACTATACACACCGGAATGGTCACTCCTTGGCCTCAGCGGAACATGAGACCCAGCCAAGAAGCGGAAAGAAGACTTGGAGAAGCGTAGGCCGTCTTGAAAGCGACGACAGCCCTGAGCTGCCAGATGAGTCTCGGACACGGCGTAAATGCCTGGCGGCAGCGTCGATACTATGTGATGTTTGTTGTTTAACCCCGTCGGATTAATGGTCCCCACATTGAGCGGGCCAGGGTTAGCCGCTTCGCCCACGTGGAAACAAAGCAACAAAAGCGTTAGCAGGAGGTGCAGGAGACCACGGCATCCACTCCAAACAGACTTCGCTGAGAAGCGACATGGCACACCCGCACCTGCACACCATCAAGAGACTGGCTCTCTCTCGACAGCTCGGCGCTTGGATCCCAACAAGGCCTCGATTTGACTCATTTGGTCGGCAAAGAGGGACCTCAAAGTGCTCTCTTGGGACTCAACCTTGGATTGAATGCCCTGGACCTGAGTTTCAAGGGCCGAGACTCTGGCACCAACCTCACCGGACGCAGCCTGTACCTGAGAGGAGACCTTCTGCAGCACGTTGTGCTCAATTTGAGCGGCAAGCTTGGTAAGGTCGGGCTGAGATGCAGCAGCAGGGCCAGTGGACGACGATGACCGCTCGGTGGCTCCTTTGGCTGTCAGATACTGCTGCCACGGGTCCTCAGTTTGGAGGGGGTCAGGGTCAACCGTTGCTGGCGCAGGAGCTTGGAGTGAACGCAAGGTCGGCTTGGCAGCCACCACAGTGGCAGGAGGTTGCGCAGGAGAGCCAGCGCCTGAGCGCACTTCCGTCACCAAAATTTCACCATGCTGAGTGAACAACACAGCTTGCGGGGGAGCCTCATTGGCCTGGACGGCCCACCACAGACCCCCGTCCGTAGCACCCGGCAAGGGCTGAAGTGGCTTTGCAACCCAGGATAAGTGAGAGAAGGCACGAGCAATGGCCTGACGTTGCGTGCCAAAAGGGAAAGGTCCAGCATGAAAGTGGCGAACAACCGTGGCCGCAAGGAACGGCACCCCAGGTCGAAGTAGCTGATGCAGCTTCTCAGCATGCTCAGTAGGGCAGCGAACGCCATATCTCGCAGCGACACGGGCAAGCCCAAGCACCATAGAGTGACTCTGCCGGATGAGGGTGGCCTCGTGAAGCCCAGCCTTGGGGAGCCAGATGACCTGATACCCCTCCGCAGGCTTGCGAGAATCAGGCGCGCGAGGCTCAAAGAAGAAGCCGCCAAGGCCGGAAAGAAGAAGAACCTTGCGCTCAAGGGCAGCAGGCACCCTAAGGTAAACCGAAAAGACCTCTGCATCAGCAGGGGCCATGGCACGGAACTGCGTGGAGCCAAAGTGTCTGCCCCAGACTTCAAGCAAAGCGTCTGGGTCTTGTGGAGAAGTGACGTGCCAGCGAGAACACTCGCATCCCAAGGCTGTGCACGTTTGCAAGGGCTCACAAGAGTCAACTATGGCCTTGACAGGCGCTTTGACAATGACCTCCCACGGGAGCTGCAGGGAATCCCTAAACACATTGACCCGAATGACCGCCGACGGCGCAACCTCAAGGACAGCCTGGTTGGCTGGCACATGCTTCTGCACCTTCCGGTCACCAATCTGAAGCATGATGGCTGACAGAAGCACAGGGTCACCCGACGCGCTGCAGGCGGCTTGAAACCTGACCAAGGCACTAGGTGTCTTAACGGAAGCGGGGTCAAGGCGACCAAGGACCAAGAGAGCCAGAGGTCCAGAAGAGACCGGCTTCTGCAGGTGCATGTACGGAGCAGCCGTCGCGACATCAAGAAGAACAACGCCCGAGCTGGAGGGGCCAACCTGGGAAAGGTCAAGTTGACCAAGTGGCTCGCCATCGCACTCAAAGACACCATGAGGAACCGAGATCTGTTGAGGAGTTGGGACATGGTTGCCAACAGCAGAGGCAGACGACATGGCCCGAGCGGTGACCTTGCGCTTGGCTTTGCCCTTGGGAGGCACAGGTTCGGTCACGGCAGCCCGCAGTGCAATTTGCGCCTGAAGCTCAGACGGAAGTACCCACTGAAAAGGGGGTGAAGCTCCTGAAGCCAGCTGCTTGAGTTGACGCCAAGGGTTGTTAGACAACATGGCATTTTGAATAGCCGACGCCGTGAGGCGTTGGATGCCAGCACGGGCTCGCTCAGCAGCCTGATCCGACAGCACACCTTTTGACTTAAGCAAGGAAGCAAGGCCATGCTCAAGAAAGGCAGTGGTGCCACCAAGAAGCAAGGGGGCACGAAGCAGCCCGCCACGCTGGAGCTCATCTGCAAACTCCCGAAGCAATCGCGCAATGCACTGAACCACGTCTTGCAAAGGCAGCGGCGGCGCACCAACAACCTGGGCCCACAAGCCAGCAAGCGCAACAGGGCCGCAGCAGCCTGGGGGGGGAAAAGAGGCACTAGGGGACCCAAACCTAAACCGAAAGGAAGAGGACCTAAACCCAAAAGCCCTGGCAAAGAGGGAATGCATGCCGTCAATGGCGTCTTGGAATCGGTCCAACTCGCTGGCCCAGGCAAAAACAGCCCCGATGACAACTTGCCAATGAAAGGCAATCCAGTGGCCCTTGGACAGCACAAGAGTGATGACATGACTGTCTGCCGGGAGACACGCAGAGGGCGATTGCAACCACTGAGGATCTTGAGTCTTAAGGGCATAGGTGGCAGCAACCGGGTCAATGACCAACACAGGCTTGTCGGCATCACGAGCAATGGCAAGGAGGCAGGCCTGAACCTGATCATCAGCAAGCCAAGCATCCTGCTCTTCAAGCATGGCCAAGCGACGGGAAGCTGGCAATGAAGGAGACAGGGCCCTCCGCAGAACCCCCAGTGAGGGCACAGTGACTGTCAAGTCACGCCACGCTGACGCTGGCTGAAAGGGAACCATTAAGCAGAACTCATCCCCAGCCTTCAGGTAATCACGCCGGCAGAGAATGTCACCTTTCGGGTTGGCAACCTGAGTCACAACATGGCCTGTGGTGTCAGCAATGGCGTCAAGCAAGATGCCCACAGGACCAGCAACAGGAACACGAAGGCAGATGCGAATGTCCTGGTTGAGCGGCACCTCCAGAGTTGCAGGAGCAGCATGCTGAACTCGGCCGCTCGGGCCAGACGGGTAGGGCTGAGCAGCAGGCAACTCTTGCACAAGGAGCCCACATTCAACAGCATCACGGCACAGCGAGTCACGCATGCACTGGAGAGCTTGGTGAGGCTCAAGAGACATGACAGGCACATCAAGCAACTGCAAGGATGGCAGCAGAGACGCAAACACCCAACCAGACTGCAGGGGCGAGGTAAGCTGCCCAATCAGGCAATCAGCCAAGCGTAGGTTGCTTCCAAAGGAAAGGGCCGGGCTAAGACCATTGAGCAATGCCAACTCGGGTGGCCTCAAGTGACGGTAGAGCCCAGTTGACTCGAGCGGCACAAGTAACGCTGAAGCCCCCATTGCAAGCTCCTCACCAAAGGGTCGCAGTCGACAGCCACAAGGGCAGGCACGTGTGTGAGACCCCCACGAGTGGAGCGCTGTGGGCGCCTTGCCCTCCAACCGAATGGCATACGCAGAAAGGGGCTTGTGAGCCTGCAGCGCGTGAACCTCTTCCTCGTCCAACCTAAGCTGGTGAACCTCCTCTGGAATTTGGCAGAATGAGTTTAGAACTTGCGAGACCGACAGAGCCGCGGCGTCACAAGGCCAAGCTTCAAGCTGGGGAGCCGGGAAACCAGGGGCACTAAGAACCACCAACCATCTAAGCCTACAAGAGACCCAAACATCCTTGAGGTCAAGGATGACCTCTCGCATGGCGAACCCTGTGTGGGCACAGAACGCTTGCAACTGAGCACGAACCCAAGCATGCCTGGAGGCAGGTTCCACACACTCAAAGACTATGACCTGGGCTTGCAAGAACAACGAAGCACGGAGGCACGACGGGAGCACTTCTGCTCTGGAGTCAAGGGCACCTTGCTGGTCAGGCTGGCAAGGAAAGCCAGCACAGACTATGCACGGGCCAGGGCAGGCCTGCCAAAGGTCCTGAATCACACGAGGATCCTGAACTGATCCATGCACAAGTGCGGCTCGGGTGGAGAGCCCAGCAACCGACAAGGTCGGCTGTTGCAATTCGCACATGGCAACCACCTGGAACCCTAAGAATTCTGCACCCTTGCCCAACGCACCAAGACCACTGCAAAGTTCCTTAACATGAAGAAGCTTCATCCCACACAATGCCTCATGTACGAACCAAGACGACTCATGCTCCTGAAACATGACGATGCAAGTGTCCTCAACTGCAATTGAGAAGTCCAAGATGCATACTGTATCGCCCCTGTGAATTGGCTCTGCACTACTAGCAAACTGTACCTTCAGCGGAGTTCCAAGAGGCCAGGTGTAACCAGAAAATGCAATGCCATCGCCACAAGTGTCCCGAACAGTAAAGAGGACCGACCCTCTCTCAACTCCAGGGGAAAGCCACGCGGGTTCGAACTCCATGGCGAACCTAAACCCCCGAAACTCAGTCTGCACAGCCCGGCCACTGGAAGGCGCTCGGGCCAAAGGGCTCAAGCCCTGAACCCTGCGCCCTAACCCTAAACCCTAAACCCTATACACTAAACCCCAAACCCCCAACCCTAAACCCTACACTCTGAACCCGAAACTCTACACCCTAAACCCTAAACCCAACCCCTTCAACCAAAAACCCATATGGGGGTTTACGAAAGTAAGGGCCACCTAACATACACCCTCCAAATAGTAGGGTTCCCTTAGAATCAAGACCCCAATAAGGTCCCCCCAAAACCCTAAACCCTAAACCCTAAACCCTAAACCCTAAACCCTAAACCCCCCCAAGGGGCTGGAGCCAGGCCATTGGCCTCAGCTCGCCCCGTCGCAGGGCATGGCGCGCGGCGGAGGCGTCCCAGGTCCCAGGCGCCAGGCCCAAAGCCCAGGCCTCTTTTTGGGGGGGTTTAGGGTTTAGGGTTTAGGGTTTAGGGTTTAGGGTTTAGGGTTTAGGGTTTAGGGTTTAGGGTTTAGGGTTTAGGGTTTAGGGTTTAGGGTTTAGGGTTGAAGGTTTAGGGTGTAGGGTTTAGGGTTTAAGGGCCCTTCGCTGCATGTCAGGTTTTGTGGTTAGGGTTCAGGGTTGCGAGTTGAGGGCTGAGGCTGGGGTGTTGGGGCTGACTGCAGCCCTAAACCCTACAGCCCTAAGCCCTGAACCCTGAACCCTGAACCCTAAACCCTAAACCCTAAACCCTAAACCCTAGACCCTAAACCCTAAACCCTAAACCCTAAACCCTAAACCCTACACCCTAAACCCTAAACCCTAAACCCACCTCCTGGGACTCCACCGGCTCCAGGGCCGGGATGACGACCGCCACCAGGGAGGGTCCCGAGAGCTGCGCTGCAGGGAGGAGGCACAGGCCGGCCGCCTGGGGTTTAGGGTTTAGGGTTTAGGGTTGAGGGTTGAGGGTTGAGGGTTGAGGGTTTAGGGTTTAGGGTTTAGGGTTTAGGGTTTAGGGTTTAGGGTTTAGGGTTTAGGGTTTAGGGTTTAGGTTTTAGGTTTTAGGTTTTAGGGTTTAGGGTTTAGGGTTTCGGGTGTTTGGGCTTCTCCGGCTTCTGCCCCGAGCATGGGAGGATCCGATGCGATGAGCACGTGGAAAACTACATTACTCGTAAGTGCCATACTGTGTGGAGACACCATGAGACGCTGTGGCGAGTTGAGCTTTTCGCAGCGAAGCTCACGGCCCACTTATGGATGAAGATGCGAAATCAATAGACCTTGAGCCATGCATCCAACAAATTGCACCTTCAACTTCCACGCTAAACTCTAAACTCAACGTTAACACTTGAAGGCTGACTAGACCCACCGTTCCCCGCCCATCAAACTACGACCCCGTTCGTGGAGGTCTAGATAGCCCTGGACCCTGAACCCTGAACCCTTCCCCTATCCCTACACGTCAAACCCATCAACCCTCAAGCCTAAACCCCTCAACCCCTCAACCCCTCAACCCCTCAACCGCAAACCCCTGAACCCTGAACCCATCAACTCCTCAACCGTAAGCCCCTGCACCCTAAACCCCTGAACCCTAAACCCCAAACCCTCAACACCTCAACCCCTAAACCCCTAAACCCTAAACCCTGAACCCTAAACCCTAAACCCTCAACCCTAAACCCCTCCCCTCAACTTCCTCACTTCCTCAGCACCTCCGTCTCCAGAAGCTGCTGGAGACCCTTGGAGGGCAGGAAATCCACGTCCAGCTGCAGCACGAGCCTCGGAGTTTAGGGTTTAGGGGTTTAGGGCTTAGGGTTTAGGGTTTAGGGTTGAGGGTTGAGGGTTGAGGGTTGAGGGTTGAGGGTTGAGGGTTGAGGGTTGAGGGTTTAGGGTTTGGGGTTCAAGGGGTTTTGGGGGTTCTGCAGATTTAAAGGTTAGCGCTTTGGGTCTGGCGTCCAGGGTCTAGGGAGGATTTTGAGGGCTTAGGGTGTTCGGCGGGTTCGGGTGCAAGGAGAAGTCTACAACTTCAGTGCGAACCCAAAACCTCTGGGAAACCCTGCAGCCCTAGCAAAAACCCCTAAGCATCAACCACTACACCTCACACCCTCAGCCCCCTGGAGCCTAAACACCAGACCCCCAATCCCTGAACTGCTAAACCCTAAACCCTAAACCCTAAACCCTAAACCCTAAACCCTAAACCCTAAACCCTAAATTCCCACCCAGCACAGCCGCTCGAAGCGCTTCGCCCGCGCGAGGGCGAAGTTCCGGAGTGCATTGACCTCGGCACGGTTGGGGGGTTTGGGGTTTCGGGTGTAGGGTTTAGGGTTGAGGGTGCAAGGTTTAGGGTTTAGGGTTGAGGGAAGCCACACTCCTGAACCCCTAAACACCCAACACTACAGTTGTAGGCCTCGGGGGGGAATTGACGGCGGATGTTCTCAGGGAGCCGTAGGGAGTGGTGGGGAGTATTAGGGAACATTGGCTTACATACTCCCCTTGAACCCCCTCCCTTAAAAACACTATAACCCAAACCCCAAACCCGAAGCGCCAGCTGCACCCAACCCGACCCGACATTAAAATAACAAATAGGGCGTACCCCTAAATGACCTATGAATACCTTGCTCAAAATGCCAGGTATGGCTGCCCAAGAGGCTCCGAGTAGGTTTAAACCCCAAACCCTAAACCCTCAACCCTAAACCCTAAACCCTAAACCCCAAACCCCTAACCCTACCCCCTGGTTTCGGAAGTCTTGAGTTTCAGGCGGGGTAGAAGGCATCCTCCTCAGAGGTCCACTCCAGCAGCAGCAGCTCGAGCCGGACCCCCGGATGCTGGGCCTCCCCCGGCAATTTCCCCGCTTCTGCACGTAGGGTTTAGGGTTTAGGGTTTAGGGTTTCGGGTTTGGGGTTTGGGGTTGAGGGTTTGGGGTTCCAGCTCCGCTTTTTTGTAGGCATAACCCTAAACCCTAAACCCTAAATCCTAAATCCTAAACCCTAAACCCTGAACCCTAAACCCTACACCTCCAAACCTCCAAACCCAAAAGCCCTTGCAACCTTAACCCTGAACGCCCTAAAACCCTAAAACGACCCAAACCCCCTAAACCTCCTGCGTCAAACGCTACAAACCCTGAACCTCTAAACCCAAAAGCCCCAATAAAAACCCTATAAACCCGCCGAACCCTAAACCCTAAACCCTAAACTGGCCCGGTGGCGTCTGATTCCCTAGACTCCCCTCGGCCTCCGTGGCCGCGCAGAGGTCCTTCAGAACACACAAGGCCTATATGCTATGGCTATGGCTTGTGCCTTGTGGCTTTAGGGTTTAGGGTTTAGGGTTTAGGGTTTAGGGTTTAGGGTTTAGGGTTTAGGGTTTAGGGTTTAGGGTTTAGGGTTTAGGGTTTAGGGTCTTCAGAATACTCAGAGCCTGATCTTGGGGCCTGAATAATTAGAACAGGGTTTTGGGGGGGGCCATTATGATATATTTATAAAGGGACAATAAGGTAATACTATTAGTAACTATTCCGACCCCTATAGTATATGCTATGGCTTGTGGCTTTAGGGTTTAGGGTTAGGACTTAGGGTTTAGGATTTAGGGCTTGAGGTTTGGGGATTGGGGTTTCAGGTTTAGGGTTTGGGGTTTAGGGTTTCGCTTTGGAGTATATAGGGGGTGAACCACCGTCTGGCTTGGGGCTTGCGGCGTCTCGGGTTCCAAAAGACAATCAATCCAGCAGCCTGCCCAAATTCAGAACCAGACTTCTTACCTAAACCCCAAACCCTACATCCGGAAATAGAAACTTCACAACGCTGTAAACGCTAGACCTCAAATCCCAAGATCCGCGGATCTTAAAAACCCCCTCTGCAGGAGCCCTAAACCCATGAACCTGACCCCAAGACTTTCTAAGACGCTACCCAAAAACCCGGCCTGACAAACTCCGAAACTTGACTCACCCCCCAAGCCCTGAAACCCGTAAACCCCAAAACCCAAACCCCAAACCCTAAGCCCTAAACCCTAAACCCTAAACCCCAAGCCCTAAACCCTAAACCCTAAACCCCAAGCCCTAAACCCTAAACCCTAAACCCCAGAAACCCCAGAAACCCCAGAAACCCCCAACCCCCAAACCTCAAGCGCAGCTCCTCGCACTGCTTGCGCCACGCCGCGCGCGGGGCGGCCGAAGGCCCCAGGGCTCGGCCTCTTCGCGGTTTACATGGGGTTTGTATGGGGCTTCTATGGGGTTTAGGGTTTAGGGTTTAGGGTTTAGGGTTTAGGGTTTAGGGTTTAGGGTTTAGGGTTTAGGGTTTAGGGTTTAGGGTTTAGGGTTTAGGGTTTAGGGTTTAGGGTTTAGGGTTTAGGGTTTAAGACACCCGAGAGAGAGCTCGCGTAGTCTTTGAGGTACCCAAAAAGGGACCCGATATAGGGTTCAAGGCTTCGGGTTTGGGGTTTGGAGTTTAGGATTTAGGATTTAGGATTTAGGGTTTAGGGTTTAGGGTTTAGGGTTTAGGGTTTAGGGTTTAGGGATTTGGGATTTGGGGTTTAGGGTTTGGGGCTGGGTGCTGCTCTGGCTGCCTTCCGCCCCGGTCCACAGCACTGCCGCGATGACATGGCCGCCTCAGAGTTGTGAGGGTTTTGGGGGGTTTAGGGTTTGGGGTTTAGGGTTTAGGGTTTAGGGTTTAGGGTTTAGGGTTTAGGGTTTAGGGTTTAGGGTTTAGGGCTTCAGAAGTTTAGAGTTTGGGCGTCTGGGGTTTAGGTTTTGGGTTTAGGGTTTAGGGCTGAGGAACCAAAGAAACGAGTGGAAGCC